TCACATATTTTAGAAACAACAAACAAGTTGTCAACATTGATAATATTTGACGAAACAACTGCAGCTGTAATTTAGAGTTATTTTCCTGAAAGAAATAATGCAACACACTTTAATCATTATTTTATAAGTTATTTATCATACTTAATTCAAAGCAGAAACTTAATTTATCCAATTAAACTCAGCAAAGCTGGTAACAAACCCACACTTTATAGAAAAATTGCAAATAGTACTGAAATTTAATCAAAATAAAATTTGATAAATACTTTACATTAACTAAAAAAACTTCTTGTGCTCTTATAACAACACTACAAGCAATTGTATCTCTTATGAATGATTTTTTTGAGGAAGGCTTTGCAGTTGTTCTTAGTTCTAATTTACAAAGTAAAAAATTTTTTGCGGATTTTCCCAAAAAAATATTTTATCAGAATTTTGATAATCATTAAAAAATATTATGCAAGATTTAGCTTAGTTGTCTACATAATTACTAGTGTCAGCTTTTTAAAAATAGCACAGGTTTATATACTTAAGCAAGGAATAAAAATAAAAATTAACAAAATGATTTTTATGTTCAATTTATGATTAATAAATGTTACTTTATACAGAGAAGAACCTATATATGCAATTCAACCTGTCTAACTTTATTTGTCTTCTGTTTAGTATTTTATGTTATTTCTCTAATTCAAATAAAAAATTGCAGTCATTCTTTTTCAATTAAAAATTTGCAAAACAAATTTTATAGATTTGTTGTAGCAATGACAATTTTACTAATGAAAAGCACCAAAAGTGGGGAATCAAATAAAGATCTCGTATTGTTAATAATATTTTTATAACAATTTGCAGAAAGAAGTTACATATTCATTGAGTAAAGATCAAGTAAAAAAATTACAAAAAAGGCAAAGACAAAATAAATATTCCTAGTAAAAAGGTATTTCTTCTTTTAATTTCAATTATAAAAAATACAAAACTACAAACCTTTATATTTTTTTTTCAATGAAGAGTTTGAGATAGTCTTAGCAACATGTAAGGTTATTTTTAGTAGCATGTTGGTATGTGTTGATATAGCTATCTGAAAGCCTATTTTAGTATTCTGTGTTAAAAAAGCCTATTTTAGTATTCTGTATTAAAATAAACTGAAACAGGCGATCAGTTAACAAAAAATCCAGCAAAAAATAGTGTGAGTACTCAAATAAAATCTAACTATCATTAAAGCATTTTAATAAAATAAGAATGAACCAATTATAGTGCAAACAAGACTCATAACCATATAGAAAATTAAGTTTTTATACTTGAGCCGTAAAAAAACTGGCTTCTTAATTTTTTACGGAAAATGCAACAAATCAGGCCGTGTAATTTAAGTAGGCCATGTTACTAAACAGATAATTTTATCAGTTTGGTTATTTATCTCCTCGGTAGTAACTGGCCAGCGAAAAGTATTCTTCTCTTGCCCGTTAATCATACAATTAACTCTGATCCCAGTTATAGATACCTAAAAGTATTAGCGCAACATTTAAAATAATATAATAAAGAGTTTATGATTTGTTTAATTTTGCTTACATTCAATAAAACTTGTAAAGTCTTATATAATGTCATTCTGAAATTATCTTTTAATTTTATTTTTGTAAAACAAAATAAAAACTTGAAACTAATATATACTTTGAATAATATTACCTCCACAATATATCCAATATTCCATTGTTTTTCATTTGGAACAGCAACCCAATCATTCACTTTCCATACAAGACAAATTTCTTTTGCAAGATTGGCGATGTCTTCCTTATATTTATTATCATCTTCATTGTCTCCTGTGAGATTAAAGTCATCATTTTTGCCATAAACTTCTTTGTTATCGTTAACCTGACTATTTTCATTATTTTTTGTTGTCGGTTCTACCAGCTTACCTTTTCTTTTCAGGTTACTAAATCTATAACAATATCAATTGTACATATTTTTAAACATATGTAAACAAACACACAAAATTATAACTTTCACCTAAATTTTAATTTCATATTTGTAAAAGAACTATTTAATCGTCAGAAACATAATCTAATTTGCAAAATTTTTTAAGTTTTGATAGCAACAATGCCTACCTTGAAAATAAAGATCTTATCTGTTGGCTAGTTACATATTGATCAGGCGGAAGTTCTCTCCTCAGCTGCATGCGAACCTGCTCAGGGCTCATTTTATTACCTGATTCTTCTCCACGAATAAAGTATTTATACAACAGTTCTTTCTGCTGATTTGAAAATCTAGAAGAACTTCGAACTGGTAATGCCTAACTTTGCAATAGAAAAATGTTCATGCAATATGGTTTGTCTTTTACGGAAGCACTGTTAGAGGATGAAGAAGTTGGCATATTTAGTTGTGAAGTAATTTTCATCTTATAAACAAACGAGTTGCGAACTTTATCCAATGATGTTAATGATTTCGGAACTGTATGAAGACTGGATAGCATGTGTTCTTCTAACTCAGCGTCGCTTTCAAATGATAAAGTACAATTCATTTCAGTGCAAAATTTTAATGAATATAATTGCCTGTCACTTCTTTTCTGTTTTTCCTTAAGTGACATGTTACGCCTAATTGAATTATCTGTTTTGCTATATGGCAACAACAACTTAAATTCGAGGGTTGAATTTTAAGATTTCCATTTTCTTGTTCAATTCCCTCACCGATATTGAAATAACCCCACATCTTCATACTTTTCTCACCAAACTCAAATGAGTGATAGTTGCTAATGTTCTTAATCTTTGGTCCAGTAACTACAGTTTTATCATTGCTAATTTGAGCAACTGCTACTTTTGCATCTTTAGCGCCAAAACTATAATGCATAGCCTTGTGTATATCTTCAGCAGTCAAAAGATTATGATCACATTGATCTTTTCCACAACAGGGTTCATTATAATCATATCTCAGCAACTTTATATCTCTCTCTTTGCATACATTGTAGATTGCTTCAGCTGAAAGATTTCCCTGATAGCAGCCGGCATTATCAGATTTGGTAAACATTTTCTTGATATGCGGTTGATTAATTATGAATTTGTCTAAAACTGCAGTGGCTAACGAAACAACATCACCTATTCCCTGATCACACCTATACATTGAAGTAAAGTAAACACGTTTGAATAACTTTCCTGCTATTTTTATGAAGAATATATCTACATGTAAACTCATTCCTTTCTTGCCAAAATACTCTCTTTGACCCTCTCTGTATCGAACCGGATGAATTTTTTGACAAAAATCTTTAAGCCAGAAAGCAGTTTCATCGTTTAATTGCTTAAAAGTTTCAATTTTTGCCTTTTTTTGTTGAGAATCTCTTATCAGGTGTTTTATGTAGTTGAATAAATCCTTTACAGCAATTTCCAAATCATAAATAGAATCAGCATCGTCAGAATTTTGAATTGTTAGTGCTTTGATCATCTCGATAGCTTTGCACAAATCATAGCAATCGGCACATACCACTTCTGATATCTCTGTGTTAGATTGAAGATTTTTTTCAGATGGATCTGATAAGGCATGTTTTGAGCTATGAGAAGAAATGTTTGAGTCATTGACACTACAATTGGTTTGATAACTTGTTTTCAAATACCTTTTTCCTTTTTCAAGGGCAGCTTCGAGAGATTTAGAACTAAATCTTTGTGCCAATTTTTGTAATGTTTATAAACCTATCATGCCTGAAGCAGTAACATCATCTAATCCAGCTAAGCTTTTTCGACTTGAAGGTTTTATTGCATGCAATACTTTCTACAAACTTGAATCAGATAATGGTATATAATTGTTTTCACTACAACTTTTTCGATAGAACATGATAGCGTGGCTATATTTTGTCGTCAGTATTGCATGCACTATCTTTTGTTCTTCACCGCTGTCGTATTTTAGTTTGGATATTCCATAAGCAACATCATGCAAAATACCGCTTGTAAATATAAAATCTAAGAAATGTTCACACTTTGTTTGATCAAGACTAGATCGGACGAATACTTTCTTCTCTGGAAATCCCTTTATGAGATGCAAGCCATTTTCTTGCTGTTTCTATACGATGTTTGGTACACTCAAATGTGTTCATTATAAACTTTTTGGTATACTTGGTATGGTCTAATAATGAGAGGATAACTAACTTTCCCATGGAATCACTTTGCTTATATACTTTCTGAGCACAAATAATTTCAATTGGGAGAGGGCTATTTCATCAACATTTTTACTGTTAAGAAAATCTATAAGTATTTCCACTTGTCCAGGAGCAACAGCTTCCGCAAATTTTTTCTTTAATAAGTTTTCTAGGCGAACATACTTGCGTTTTAACTTATCTTTAGTAGTATCTTCCAGATATTCGAACTTCCTTTTTAATCTAAATTTTATTGGACTTGCATTAAGAACCTCAGTTACACTCTCACGGCTTCTTAGAGATTCGTCCAAAATCTCCTGTGAAACATTAATTTCACCGGGATCAAATTCTTCATCTGGAGTAGCAGGTGTCACATATGTTTGTTCTTGTTGTGTTTGTGTTTCTGTACATAAATTAGTGTTTTCGTTGACTCTCGATAAAGCAGTTTCTTGCTTTAAATGGGTAAAACACAGCATTGCACCAACTGAAAATACTTCATTGTATCGCTTTGACATTGATATGACGACATGTGTTGGTGACGCCTTTAAAGCGGGAGATTTTTTTCCTTTTATATTTAGATGGTGAGGATGAAAGCATGTTTTTGGAGGACTCCATTCAATACCAAACGTGTACCGGTGAAATACGCATATTTGTTCATCCTTTTCAAGATTTCTTTTAAGTCTATTTGCAATAAGTCCATTTTCTTCCCAAATATTATTATCGTTTAATCGCATGACCTAAAAACAATTTTTTAAACAATTATTAAGTGTGTCATTTAAAGCATTGTTTATAATCTGACTCTTTACGAAAAATATTTACAAGTTTAAAATACATTGTTGTTATTATTAAAATACAATAATGCAAGAGTGTGATTAATTTAGTGATTATTTATTAGAGTGAGGAATTAATTAAAAGAGCTATTTTTTTTTTGTTTAAAGAACTTTGTCTCAAAATCTTATTGCAGAGAAGTTATAAAGTATGTAATTATAAAAATTATATTACAGTCTGCGTAAATTTAAAATACATAATTACCTTTAAGTTGATGAGGTGTTTCTTAACATCAACATCTCCCAGCTGATGAATGTAGAACATTTTGTTTATAATTTTATGTTTTTTGAATGATCCACAATTTCTTTTTAAAAAGCAACAACAGTTTTCATAAAAATATTTGTTTTGTTCCATACTCAACTAAAAACAAGTTCTATTTAAGCAGTACCTATTTCTCAACATCAATGATAAAATATCTACTCTATTTATGCAATTTTTAAAGATCGTTAAAATAAAGTTAAGACATTTTTATGGTAAAGTAAACAACCGCCCACTAACTTGTTTCTCCACAATCGTGATATCATCGATTCTTCTTCCATACGATCACCACAAGTTATTTGGTTATGACGTAAATTTAAATAATTCACTTCTGATCATGTATTGTTTTTTATTATTATTTATTTCAATTGTTATGATTTCTATATCATAGTCAGAAACGCTTAAATTTTTTCTTAACATTACGTGCTATGTTTTGTGTAATGCTAATTGCTAATTTTGGATGATAGAAATTTTATTGTGAGCGAAAACCTCATCTGTGTGTCCAAAAAAATATCTCTTCGTACTTAATCATTTTTAACAATTTGTACCTTTATTTTTAACTTAATATCTAAAGATCACATGAGTTTTTTTTTAAACTATGTTAGGGTCATCTTATATTGACCATTTAACATGATTATATTTTTACAAAACTTAGCGCCTCTGCCGTAATAGCTCATTTTGTAAGTATACTATAACATTTTTTTCCAATTTCAAGCCTTAATATATTAATAGGCCTTAGGTATCACATAACTTTCTTTGCATTTTTAGACTCAATACCTTTGATAATTTCAAATCCTAAACAAAAATTTGTGTGCAACACTTCGCCGCTAGAATTAACTCCGATTAAAAATTGACAAAACTGATTGATTTTGTACTTTTGAACTATGATAATTAGCCAACCGCACAGTGTCACGCAACTTTTTTATATTTTTTGGAGAGAGCTTTTGGGTTACGTCTGATATTAACTACAAAAGTGCAACTTTTTGCCTTGCCAAAAAAATGGGTTCAAAGGTGGCAAAAACTAAATTTCTAAAAATTTTTAAAAAAATCTCTTTTTTAAAATTTTTATTTAAAAAGAAAGAAGTCCAACTTACATGAAATTTTGACCCTTTTTTTTTTTTTTTTTAAATCATAATTAAGCTTGAGGATGTTAGAAAACTATGTTTTACAACGTGAAAATAATTTTGAGCCCCCTTCCCCCTCTTTGCCCCTATAAAACTGTTTCGTTTTAAGCCCTCTATCAACGCGAGTTATTTAAAAGCCTCTTTATTCAGGATAAGCAATAAAATACTTTAGTTTAGATTTTTAAAAGTATCATTAGGGGAATGTATCATTAGAAGAAATGAAGATACATAAAAAAATGGTAAATCTTCTTTCATAAAAAATATGATAAACTTATAGTTAGGGAGCCTAGGAAAATAAAGTAAGTACTTAATTACTCCATCATTTAATTTTTTTTTTTTTTTGTTTAGAAAAATAATAATTAAACAGTTTATAAAAAATACCCTATTTACGAATGAAGATAATGTTACACTTAACTCAGAATTTAATTAATTACAAAATAAAATTAAAATACTTTTAGATAAGCATTTTCCGGATATTAATTTTTATAGTAATATCATTTATAAAAATTTATAAAAATATTAATACTTTATTTTAAAATCCTAAATCTGAAAACGTATTGCAAGGACTAGATGTAAAACCATTTTTAATTTTGCATTTAAACATCAGGAGCATTTTAGAAAGTTTTGAATAATTTTTTATGCAAGGTTAAATTTAATTTTAAAATTATTAGTTTCAACGAGACATGGTGTACTGATGAGTACATCAAGACAAATACAAATTTTCAGCTAGCAAATCATAAAGTGACTCATCAAGTTAGAGAAAAAAAGAAAAGAAGAAGTTTGTGGGTATTTATAAGTGATTTTTTATTATACAAACTAAATTTGTGCTCAGTTAATAATGGATGTGAATTTGTTATTTCTACTATGCGTGGAAACAATAAATTAAATCACAAAAATCATTATCAGCCACGTTTTACACGACCACTTTCACGGTGGTCGTGTAAAACTTCACGTTTTACACGACCACCTTCCGGCTCAATAAAACAATTCGTAAATCATATTAAAAACATAATTAAACATATATTAGGCGAAAATAAAAACATATATATTTTAGGTGATTTCAACCTTGACCTAAACATGAGTCATTTAGATACGAAAATAAATAGTTTCTTTAACCTCATACATAAAAAAGGCTACATTCCACTAATTAATAAACCCACAAGAATAACTAAAGAAAGCGCAAGAGTCATA